GGCTATAACTAGTGAAATTCATGGACATGCAGCGAAAAGAACGGTGATATCATTTTTTAAAAGTCAGAGAGTGACAAGAAAAGTTGATATTAAGCACCGATATCAATGTGTATAATGGAACGTGAGGGTCAATACTAGTATGCGCTAATAAGGAGTTAAGAATGTTTGGCTGCATATGTGACTGCATAAGATGAAAAATCAAACAAACTTATTTTTTAAAGTACTGGTATCATGGTGCATCTATTGCTCATCCCCCAAATCTCAACCAAGAAAAAACAGTGGTAGAAATCCTTTTTTTAAATGTTCTGCAATATTGAAGATGAGTCCAAATTTTGTTCTGCAATTTTGGAAACACTTTCTACAAATACACAAGCCTCCACACTACAACCTTACTCCTGAACTAACACCAAATTACAGATTCTATGATTTTTCTTTTGCAACAGGGCTCTTCCCAAGCAACGAAGCAAAGGTGCTTCCCCTCTTCCCAACATCGTACTAGCACCTCTCCCAAAATGTTTAAATTTACGGTTTTCTCTCAGTATTTTCATGAAAATTTGCTGATTTCTCATCAACTGATTAGGGAGCACCGCTCCCCTAGAAATTTCCAGGGAGACCCTTATGCAATATTGTAAATCTCTGCAAAATGCAGATGAGATGGGTATTTCCAGCACTGAAGAAATATTCCCAGCATCCTTCGCTGCCCTTAAAATTCCGAAAGTCCCTGTTCTTTGTCCGCGCAAATCACCGAGATGCTAATTGCCACTTTCGCTCTCCCCTTCCAGTGGCGTCCCCTTGTCTATTATTGCCATTAATGGCCCGTTATTACCTAAATATGACATTATGGAAAATATGGGCTACTAAAACTCTCCGGGGACGAATGGAGCGGCAGACAATGTAATTATTCCGAGCCGGCCAGGGGTCTGGCCGCGATGTGGAACAAACGAGGAACGAACACACACATACTGATACACCGGCGACCGCGGGGGTCCGGCCAACACAGCCCGCGCCCAGACGAAAAGCGAAAGTTTTACACACCCTCGTTAGTCGGCAGTGAAAGTGGCAGTGGCGATGAGGTTGATCGATGAAGCTTATCTCTGCTTCCAACACAAATAATTAAACAAAAACGGAAAAACAATCCTTTAAACGTGTGGCAAGTTTACCCACAATGACATTTCTCATGAAGTTTATATTTTCTATAGTTACTACTACTAGTACTTGATTACATCTTCTCAGCATTGTGAGTGGCCTGCGCCAAAGTCAGTCATACATTTTCTGCGCTTTGTAAAAATTATGTATACATTTTTCGAAATATCAGCAATATCTTAGTATGAAATAAAGAACTGGTAGTACTAGGGAATATTACAAGCACTGTGTGTTGCCACTTCTATGATTTTAAATGTGGATACGAAATGAATCGTAGTCACTCAGTGATGGAGTGGGGGCCAGAAGTACGGACCGAGTGAAAGCCACCAGACCGTTTGGCCATTGCGACGTCTCTGGGATGCCTTACAACGCCAATAATCTGTGTGGGCTATTGTCTGGGACCACTCCATTGTGACTTCCATGTCGTATTGTACCCCGTTACAATCCCAACAGTTCTCCCTTATACAAGAGGGAAGTCCAAATAATGCAAAAGCAATGACCCAGACTGTTGTCTGTCGGTGTAATTGTTTCGTCCGCCACAATGGCACTTCTCTCCGCTCCGAAATAACAGCGGGGTTTATCCGTGGGAAAGTCGCCTCAGTCTGCCGATCCCTGATGCAGTGCCATTATTTAAGAAATTGAAATGGTAACAGAAAGAAGAAGAACGAGAAGAAAAAAATCGGCTTTTTTTGAGAATCTGTCAAAATAAAATAAAGGAAATTTTATACCTTTTTACTTGATTTTAGTGACAATTTTGCCTCAATGGAAAATGTGCCATTATTTAAGAAATCAAAATCGTAACAGAAAGAAGAAGAACAAGAAGAAAAAAAAACAGCTTTTTTTGAGAATCTATTATAGTAAATCAAGGAAATTTTTATACCTTTCTTACTTATTTTACTGACAATTTTGCCTTTAATTGAAAAGATCCTGAGATGCCAAAATGCGAATCAGCAGAAAGGCTTTTTTTCTAGAATCTGTCAAAATAAAATCAAGAAAATTTTAGACCTTTTTACTTACTTGATTTTAGGGAAAATGTGCCTGAGATATCAAAATGCGACTAAGCAGAAATACTTTTTTATTCTCAGTGAAGCTGGGTTTTAAAAAACTACATTGTTTGCATGGAAACAGAGTCCCTGGGTGCTAATGAGATACAGTGATGACCTGGTTGTGTGGATCTACCTTGTTCCATGATGTAATTATCCTCCTCCTCCTTCCCAACCTCAGCCTATGATCTCCCTTTTGTAAGTACAGAATAACAGCACTATTACAACATCCAGGCCTTCCAGTCAGAAAGAGATGGGCTTCTATATAATAACCGGTCATAATGCATGCGGTCTGCGCTCGGAGCGCGAACAAAGGCATTGTCCATGAAATGACATACTTTACATGCATAATTTGTGGCTCGGAACATAGATCATAATGATGGGCAAGTTATGATTAATAAATGAACTTCATCAAAATTTCATGTGGCAGCAGAGAATGGTGTTAATGGCGCAATCTAGGAGCCTTCACTCAGCAAATGGAACGGAGTTGTAATCTAATTCCTGACTGGATATATTTTTGATAGCCGTTTCGGAGGAATTTTTCGAGTACGAAAACATTTGTATGGACGCGAGGTGACGATTTCGAGCCGAGAAGCACTCACACTTTTCTTTTCCACGGCTCTTGAAAGCCTAATTGACAAGGCAATACACTTTCCATTTGCGGGGTATACATATGTATGGGAATTTCAGGCAAGGCCTCTGGGGAATTATGAAAAACAAATTGTTTCAAAAACAAACGTCGGGGACGCGGGCGGATATTTTTTGATGATTATAATGGGGGCTGGTAGGTTGCACCCATGCTTTGTTTTTCAAGGAGGGGTGCCACATATTCTGAATCTGATCCACCCGCTATATATAGCCCGGGCCAGGAATGTATTGTTTTCAAGAACGCTCTGTGTGACACAGGATAAACAGTAACACTTGGGAGAGAGGTCCAGCAGGGATTGGGAGGGTATGCCGGCCCTGAGCTGAGTGCTTTCCTTCCACCCAGGCCCCTTTGCAACCCTGCATGCCAGATTAGGATCATCGGCTTAATAGAGTCAATTGAGTTTGTGCACTATTGTTTGCTCCGCTCCTACCTGCCCCTTTCAAATCAGCGTTTTGCGTCACGCGTAAATGGAAGAGGCGTTAAGAATGAACCGGGCGCTCGGGCAAATTGGCCGCCGCTAACAAGCCCGCCTGCTCCCGGTACCCCTGTGCTCTTGCCTACAGAGAGATAAAAAGCGATACAGGGAATAGCAATTCAAGGATTCTGGAAAATCTTGATATTGTAGATATGCAGATGAGAAGGTAGAGAGGCAAACGAGGGAGGTACGATACAACAACCACAGTGAACTGAAGCACTCTATTACGGGGGCAAAGAACATAAACTGCTAAGCAAACACGGTACAAGTAAAGGCACTATTTGTAGATATCAAGAGAGATATTTACATAATAATAAAAATCCATTATCTTGCACGGTGTGTCCTGCCCACGATAAAAGCATTCTTCTCATTCAGTCCACGCCGGCAACCCTGTTCCAAGGACACTCTGGTCGGTTTTCTCTCCCCACGCTGAATCGTCGCTTCCGCAAACCGTCCCTCCTCGTGCTTGTGTGCGGTCTACTTCCCAGCAAAACAGGTTTGTTTGTTCATGGGAGTTGACAATCGTCCATTGTTGCGACGGCGGCGAAAATCACGCTCCCAAACACGCCCCCCTTAGGACCGCGGCACACGGACCCCAAAGTGAAGTCACTTTTCGCTTATTTTCCGCTGGACGGGACGGATGACAAAACCTGTTGTTTGCACCTATGGTTACACCTACACAGGGCAAATACCACAGGCGGCGCCCGACAAAGCCTTCAAAGGAACAAAAGCTCACATTTCCATCACAATGTGTCTTTTAACGGCAATTTGCATAAGAATGGGAATAATACACAACATCAATGGAGGGAAGTGAGGAGGTATTTGGTGAGGGAATTTGGGCCTGTAAAGCACGGACAACAAATACTACACCTTTAGGGACTCAGGCCGAGACAAATTACACCCAGACAGGGGAACAATAGGCTCTGTTGTCCTCAGGACCTGATAAACTGGGTTTTGTGTTTGTGCGGAGGGGAGTGGCCCCCTGGAAGATTTTTAACCACACAAACAATATTGAAACCATATTGTCCACTTGTCAGGCAGGGCCAGGCCGGCCTGGGGTGGTTTGAAGAGGGGAAATGACAGTGTAGGGGAACAACAAATCGGCTTGCCTAAACCAGGAATACAGGGGGGACGTCAGAGGGGGAAATAAGGACGTCTTTTCTGTGGGGAAAGTTGGAGGTTGTCACAGATGTGTGGCGCCCTGGGATGGCCAAACAAAGGCGAGACAATCGCCCCAAGTTAACACCGAATATAGACATAGACTGAGAAATGTAAATATTTAACACTCTCCCGAAAACATGCCCACCCGTTAGAACTACAGTCCTCGTTAAAAAACAGCGAATCCTTTTTTTTCTTACTGCGCGGGGAGAGACTGAGAAACGACCGTCAAGTCTCTAACGCACTACCGGATGGAGAAAGCTCCGACAGAAGTCGGGAACTTGCGTAATCTTTTTCTCTCTTCACAATGCTACATGATGGACGTGGTGGATTACCTTACGGTGTAGTTAATTGGAAAGAAGCGCTACAGTAATTCATCACGGAAAGACATGCCCGAGGAAAATGCCACAAAGGCCGCCCCAGGATATTTCCTAGGGAGAGAAAAAATTAGAGATGACATTTACGAAAACTTCTGCTGTTCTTCTTCCTCTCGCTTCAAAGAGATCGCGCGGAAACAAAAAGTGATTGTTACCTTCTTTTTGTCAGCATAAAGGGATTGAATTCTGCTGCGCAATTTCTTGCAGTGCAAGCTGTTCCGTCCATCAGGGTATTTTTAGAGCAACAATTCGGAATATTAGTCATTGTATCGGGCGGCACACATGTGCGCCGTATCGGGTGTGAGGAGTGCGTCGGGCTTCCCGAGCCCTGCTTCCCGCCTGTCCGCCTGGTCACACACCTCCCGCTCTCACGCGGTAAACGCCCCTAAAAACCACGGAAAAACGCCTGGGAAAACAACGCGGGGCGCCTAATGGAACCCATGCATGCATAAAAGCCCTCGACAATAACAAGCCGGGACAAAGAACAAAAGAGAAAGGCGGGCAAACAATAGCGAAAACAATAGCTTTTGTTCCGTTACCTTAGTATCAATTTGCTCCCGCTGACTTCGTTTCCAGCGACCGAGGTATTTTCGACGTCCGCCTCCTCCCCCGCTTGCCGCTACGTCCTCGCCCGCAGTGTGTCTTGCATTTCCGCGCGAGTGGCCTTCGCGATCGGACAACGCCGAATATAAATAAGAACTACGAGGAAAACACAATGGAAAGGTCGGTAAATGAAGCAGTCATTGTAGCTGTCAATCGATACATCAATCTGACGCCGCCATGTTGATGGAATGCCAAATATTTCCCACAACTCCACGCGGCCCCGCTCTGTTCTTGGTTAACCTTTGACACGCCAGACTTTCAACATCGCAGCTCCAAAATTCACCATAGTTTTCAAATAAAAATTAATTTGAATAACTCAGTACTAACCAATAAATCAGTTTTTATGAATATTTTGAACAGGAAAACAGTATTTTTCGAAATATTGTGCCTCCCATGATGCAAGGAAACACACACCCCCTTTTCAAAATGGCGGCGGTCATGTTGCTTTTTCGCAGTTTCGGCAAGCAGGTTAGTATTTCAGTGTTGTTTGTACGCACCGCTCACGTATTCAACACAGGTTATACGTCTGATAGTATTTACGGTTCACAGAGATGTCTACTGAGTCCACCAGACGTCTCTTTAAGTTGTGCAAAGCGACAGAATTAGATGTCATAAATAATGACTCGTGGCGACACACATGCAGACAACATCAACATATGCGTTGTCTTGAAAAATGCGTTGTTATGCAAGAAGGAAGTTATATCGAAATACACACGTATGAGTTATTCAGACATTTCTACTCGGGAAATCTAGTTGTAAGCACTAGAAATGTTGTCACCGTGTATAAATATATGTGACACGCTATACTGTATGTACGTAAAAATCAATCACAATCTGTCAAAGTCAGACTTCGCCGCCCGATCACGCGCGGGACAACTCAACTCCTCGTGAGGAAGTGAAAATGGTAGTCTGGGTGCCAGACCGTTGCCAGGGCCAGTATACAGGCTAGCTCCAGGGCTAGCCTGGGTGCCAGACTGTTGCCAGTATTATATACAGACTAGCTTCTTGGCTCCAGGGCTAGCCTGAGTGCCAGACTGTTGCCAGGGCCAATATTCAGACTAGCTCCTTGGCTCCAGGGCTAGCCTGAGTGCCAGACTGTTGCCAGGACCAGGGCTAGCCTGGGTGTCAGGCTGTTGCCAGGGCTAGTATACAGACTAGATCCGCGAATCCAGGGCTAGCCTGGGTGCTAGACTGTTGCCTGGGCCATATCTAGGCTAGTACCTTGGCTCCAGGGCCTAAATGCTCCCAAAATAATTTTACCACAGACACCCTAAGTTAGACTCGTCAGAGCTTGTCAGGGTCTAACTTTGGGCTGGCTTGTGTATAATTTGGCCCTGGGAACAGTCTGGCATCCAGGCTATCATGAGGTGATGTTGGCAGGTTTCTAAGGTCGTTGCCCTTTCACCATGGCAAACTACAAATAGAGATTATGTAATTGCCTTGTGACCATTGATAAGGTTATGAATGTGCGTACACATGGAATGTGTTACAAGAGTGCCGGGGTAATAAACAGGAAACACTTATGATGATAAATTATGATTAATGTACATTGTTCATTGCAGATCTTTCCTCATCATCGATGGTTGATAAATTAGTTTCGCATTTTCATCACTTGCATCTGAAGCATATGCAACATGTCTTGTATCTGTCTTATCAGCAAGCTTTTCAATGTAGCTTTTCAACTAAACTGCAAAGGTGTTACAGCATGCATGCAGATGGAAAGTGCCTATAGTTTGTAAAGGAACAAAACAAGTCACAGCAATCTCATAATTAATTTAGTTGCCAGGGCAACAGTTATAATAGCCTGATTGAGGTGGCAGAACACACTTTCCGGCCTATGGGGATTCGAGGAGACTCACTTAAATGCGGTAAAAATTATAGCAGGGTGCACTAGAGAAACGCGGCCAACTAATATGTTGAAATATATGGTATAATCTACAAAATAACCGAAATCACAAAAAAAAGTTATGGTTTTTTTAACACCATGACGACCACTTTGATTTGGCCCTCTACCGGGGTCAACGGAACTGCAGCCGGATCACCCCGGAACGCAGTTGCGTAATGCCGCGCATTTATACACGAACGGGGAAATCTTCAAAATCCAAATCATACGGTGTACAAGCCGATACCTTTCTATACCACACAGCGCAGTTTACTCATGGCTACCTCTCGCATAAGTCGCTCTAGCCAGGATTCAAGAGTGATTTTCTATACCCAAGACCCAAACCTCTGCTTGGAGTGCGCTAGGCTTTATCAGAACTGTACCTGTTTCCATTATTGGTGGCACAGAAGTTCTTGTATAGTAGAAGTCAGACCATATGTGACCTATATACTCAGTCAAGCATGACCACTATCACAGCAGGGAGAGAGGCACTGGCATGCCTGTCCCAGACACATCATAGGAAAGTCATTTGTTCAAAATAAGTCCACAGCAAGTAAGTTTTATGGATGACATCAGCACGCGCATTAATTTTCGCCTGATTTTGGAAAAAAAAAATTGTTACCAGTCTACCACAGGCCGTAATTAACTCAAAATCAGTAAATGAGTTCAAGACGAACAAATACTGGGAGAGCATAAAGTATAACAATGAGTGAAGTCGAGATTGGGATCACTACAGGATTACCTCATTATCCCGAAGACGGTATCAAGGTATCAAGGTTGCCTTCTGACAGTGGTCAACATGCCAAAAATGGGCAAAGATGTCTGTTGCCATGCCGGAAGTCGGATGGCAGATAACTTTGAAGAGAGGAGACAAGAAAGGGCTCTGATTTAATCTGAATTAATGTTTGTTTTTTACTTTGGTGCAGTGATATGTGATGCTGGCTGTGTAAATGTGATGTTGCCACTGAATCAAAACCATTTGTACAATGATTGAGTCAAAATGTCGGAACCTTTTTTGGGGGGGCTGCCTTGTTTTTTTTCGCCTGCTCGCATTAGGTTTGGTGTCTGCGGAGGATGTCATCCATAAAATTTATTTGCTGTGGCCTAACTTCTCTTTCAGCAAAGAAACTGATTAGAGAGCTTGTGGTTTTGTTATACGAAAAACATTTATTTCTGTAATAGTTTTGTAATCCCTTGATTGGATTAAAAATACAAGTAGATTAGATCAATCCTATTTTAAACAAACCAATCTTTTCTAACTTAAGAAGACTTCCTTCAACCATCGGGGCCAAAATATGAGCATTTTGAACTTGATTCAGAACTTTGATTGTTGGGTCGCGTGGCGTAATGGCAGAGCATTCAGCTTAGAACCAAGAGGTCCCAGGTTCAAATCCTGCCATGTCACCAACCTTGTGCCCTTGGGAAAGGCACTTTACACAACTTTCTTGAAGTTTCTTCACTTGGCTCAGGCATTAATTATGAGCATGCCAGAATGATCATTATCATGATCGTGGGCATTAAAAGAAAAACCTAAAACCAAACTTTAAAAAAAATTAAGCAGGCAATTCTGAGAACCCAATTAATAACTTAGTGTAGCCTTATATTAATGTCATATTCAGAGGCACATTCTGACACTTGATCTGAATTGAAGCGAAAGTGAATTTCCAGGTGGCTTACTGGCAATTTTGTAGTCCATTAAAAATAGTACAACATTGAAGTGGACTCAGTAGTCCTAGTATAGTAGTAAGTGACAGTGACGGCTCTTCAGAAGGACCCTAGACATGTAGTACACCTTGGGTAAAAGAAGAGGGTGACACATGGAAGTTGTTGAGGTACTGGGGTGGAGTAGGGGGCCACAGGACTACTTGAAGACACAAGGACTCCCGTCTTGAATGTCAAGCCAAGAGCTCTTGTGACGGGAGAGCCCAAATGGCCACTTGTACCAGTGTGACCCATTACGTACTACAGTGTTGCCGCTTTTTCCTGGTCCTCCATTGCGACAGTTTTCTGCAACTAATGGCCTCTCAAAAAGTTGAGAAGAGCGTCAGGAGGGGAGGGAACACATGGTTTTAGTGTTTCACTACAAATGTATGAAGCTCTTTTAGTCTTTATCAAGAGGATAGAAGAGTATGTATCAGTATGTTGAGTCTTCGGTCAGGTACATGTAGGACATTGGTCCAGTTTAGGCTGCTCCTAAATATCTCCTCTTCAACCAACTGTCCGCCAACTGTCATAATGGGTTTGTGAGGATGGTCAAATGTTCTCTGTGAACTTTTTAAACCTTGCCTTGAAGGCATTTACTGAGCATTGTAAATGCTGGGTCTTTATTCTTACTACATGTACCGTATTAGTGCTCCAATGTATTTTCTCGTATTATATTATAATACATGTATGTGACACATTCACTCCCAAACAATTTGAAATTGTTAATTAGAATGCTCCGCAAGTACACAAGTGGAAGGGAGAACAAAACAGGTGTATAGTAAACACCTTTGCAAGTTGCCCATTCCGGAGACTATAATAGTACAATACATTATATATGTATATAATATTCTGTATACAAAAATCATAAATGAGTGATAGTTTAAAACTTCATTTGAGTGATTGTCACTTAAATGTCTTGGAAAGTTATGAACAGATTTACTTTTGTCATGATAATTGTTGATTTTTTTTGCTATTAGGAGCAATTAAAGAAAAATGGGACTCTAGTAGACATCTGTCAATAGAATCACACTAGAGATGTTTGAATACTGTATAGTTCTTCTTCTTGGCTTTGGATTTGATTGATTTTATTCTACCCTTCTGCTTATGCAGAAAGTTACACATCTTTCTACATGTTGTATGTGAAAAAGATACTTCAATGACACCAAGGAGATTAGAACCTGCTTGATTATACCAAGAGGCAAGTCAGAATTGCAAAAAGGATGGCAGCCCTCAGGACTTCTTCAGTTTTAAGATATTTTTCTGTGTCCAGCATTCAAGTTCAAGACTTTTTCCTCTTTATTCAAAAGTCTACATGAAAAAAAAAAGATTCCACTGTATTCCTAACCCTATGGAGAATATGTTAAGGCCACGCCAATTTAATTTGTTGTTTCCCGGATTCCCCCTGTCCATTTTTTCTGATTTGCAAAAAAAAGAATTTTTTTTTTGTTCTAAATCAACTGCAGAATGCTCAATGAAAGACATATTTTGGCCCCAACAGTTGAAGAAAGTCTTTCTCTTCCTAGTTGTTTTAACTTTCAAAAGTTTTTCAGGTTCAAAATCTATTGTTTTGATTATAAACCAGCCTGGTATGTTCACTTCATGGCTCATATTGTAACATTTCAGGCTATCATGGGGTGACTTGGCCTGTTTTTTTTTTCGCCCTGTCGCTTCATATTTTTTCTGAAAAAATCAGAGAAACAACAAATTAAATTGGTGTGGCCTTAGCTTAGATTTGCATAAGAGACATTGCAAATAAGATGTAAAAACTGGACGTTCTGCTGCAGTATCAAGGAAAGCTGCCAGGTGTCCAAAATCAATTTGCGTCTTCGATAGGTCGAGACCTAACCACAGATCAAGTTTTGTGACAATCCATTGAAAGCTA